AAAATCCCATTGGCTTCTTTTGCCACCACATGACATTGTTGGCTCATGTTTAACTTGCTGTCCACGAGGACTCCAAGATCTTTTTCACACGTTCTGCTCTCGAGCCAGGCATCGTCCCCCATTCTGTCTCTTTACATTTCGTTTTTTCTGCCTAAGTGGAGTATCTTGCATTTGTCCCCGTTGAACTTCATTTTGTTAGTTTTGGTCATTCATCTCTCTAATCTGTCAAGATCGTTTTGAATCCTGCTCCTGTCCTCTGGATCTTGGCTATCCCTCCCAATTTGGTGTCGTCTGCAAACTTGATGATCCTGCCTTCTAGCCCTTCATCTAAGTCATTAATAAAGATGTTGAACAGGACCGGGCCCAGGGGGGAACCCTGCGGCACTCCGCTCGTCACTTCTTTCCAGGATGAAGAGGAAGCATTGGTGAGCACCCTCTGGGTTCTCCAGGCTAAACATACCTAGTTCCCTAAGCTCTTCCTTGGAAGGATTATCATTTTCCACCATTGAGCAGCAACCAATGCACATGTTTGCAGTCTCCAACCCAACTCATTGTAATCTTCCAGGAAATCCTAGTTTGCAAGAAGTCAAACATGTACAAGGCTGCCCTTTAGCGGCAAGAAGTAATATTGCAGCAATTGCCTTCAGGAATTCCGCGATGACATTCCACAGATATATAAATCTCACTTGCAGAGTTTCCAACAGACCTCACAACCTCTGAGGATGCCTGTCATAAATGTGGGCAAAACGTCAGGAGAGAATGCTTCTGGAACATGGCCATACAGCCTGGAAAAATCATAGCAACTCAGCGATTCCGGTCATGAAAGCTTTCAACAACACATATAGGTTTTAAAAAATATAAATGAAAGGTTTTCATGAGTTATGTTGGAGCCCCCGGTGGCGCAGTGGTTTAAACCCCTGTGCCGGCAGGACTGAAGACCAATAGGTCACAGGTTCGAATCCGGGGAGAGGCAGATGAGCTCCCTCTATTAGCTCCAGCTCCTCATGTGGGGACTTGAGAGAAGCCTCCCACAAGGATGGTGAAACATCAAAAACATCCAGGCATCCCCTGGGCAAACATCCTTGCAGACGGACAATTCTTTCACACCAGAAGCTACTTGCAGTTTCTCAAGTTGCTCCTGACACGACAAAAAAAAGTTAGTTATGTTGTGTCCCCATGCAGTTTGTTACTACAATTTTGTATGTTTCTGATCTCTTATAATGGGTTGGTTGTTAGAAGAACTGAATCACTGTGTTGCAGTTTCTCAAGTCGCTTCTGACATGGAAAAACAACTGTCACGGAATTATGGCTGTCCAAAAATATGTGTCACTAACATGAAATTTCTGGAAAGCTCTGCTTAGTGTATTGTAAATACTAGATAGTAATATCAGTATGCAACAAAATTTGACAAATGTTCTGTTCCTGGTTTGAAAGTGTTATTTCCCATTTAATTATGCGGCCCCTACTTTGAAAGTAGTTGTTTCCATACAATGTATTGTCGAAGGCTTTCATGGCCGGAATCACTGGGTTGTTGTAGGTTTTTCCGGGCTATATGTCCATGTTCTAGAGGCATTTTCTCCTGACGTTTCGCCTGCATCTATGGCAAGCATCCTCAGAGGTAGTGAGGTCTGTTGGAAGTAGGAAAATGGGTTTATATATCTGTGGAATGACCAGGGTGGGACAAAGGACTCTTGTCTGCTGGGCTGTCACAAACTATGTTGAATTAGTTGAGATATTTATTCATTAAAAACTAGAGCAAAATATGCTGCAAAATATCCCTCCCGCAAAAATAGTTTTTCCAGTTCAACGAACTACTTCCATGTTTTTATGATAGTACCAATTGAGAAAAGACATTTATAACCCAGGAACAAAAATAGTGCGACATAGTGCATGTTGTGACTCAGCCAGGTGAAGATGGGGCGACTGTTATTCCAGAGCCTGGGAGAATGGATGGGTCTTTCAATGAGGGAAATGAAGGAATTTTAGATCAGGATTTTGTGAAACTGTCTCGGAGTCCAGCAGACTAACATTTTGCCTAGTTGTCTCATAGAAAGCCTAGATAAGGAATTGGAGGGGTGGGAAAGTTCGCCTGATGAAATCCGTCATCAATTAGATAGACTGAGGTGGATCAGCACTATTGGTACTCTTGGACCTCACAGCTGCATTCGACAACGTGGACCATGACTTGCTGATTCATCAATTGGCTATGTCTGGTGTACGAGGTTTAGCTCTGAAATGGTTCAATTCGTTCCTCCGGGACCAGAGACAGAGGGTGGAGTGGTTAGACCAGTGTTTCTCAACCTGGGGGTCGGGACCCCTGTGGGGGTTGCGAGGGGGTGTCAGAGGGGTCACCAAAGACCACCAGAAAACATAGTATTTTCTCTTTGTCATGGGTGTTCTGGGTGGGAAGTTTGGTCCAATTCTATCATTGGTGGGGTTCAGAATGCTATTTCATTGTGGGTGAACTATGAACCCCAACAACTACAACTCCCAAATAGCAAGGTCTATTTTCTCCAAACTCTACCAGTGTTCACATTTGGGCATATTGATTATCTCTGCCAAATCTGATCGAGATCCATCACTGTTTGAGTCCAGTGTTCTCTGGATGTAGGTGAACTACAACTCCAAAAACTCAAGGTCAGTGTCCACCATACTCTCCCAGTATTTCTCTTGGCCATGTGTGCCAAGTTTGATTCAATTTCATCATTGGTGGAGTTCAAAAGGCTCTTTGATTTTAGGTGAACTACAAATCCCAGCAACTCCAAAATTCCCAAATGACAAAATCAATCCCCTCCAACCCCACCAGTATTCAAATTTGGGTGTATCGGGTATTTGTGGCAAATTTGGTCCAGTGAATGAAAATACATCCTGCATATAAGATATTTATATTACGATTCATAACAGTAGCAAAATTAAAGAAATAGCAACAAAAAGAACGTTATGGTTGGGGGTCACCACAACGAGAGGATCTTTACTAAGGGGTCGCGGCATTAGGAAGGTTGAGAACCACTGGGTTAGGCCAAAGCTCTGAGAGCTCCTGCCTTTGCTGTGGAGTTCCCCAGGGTGCTATCCTATCGCCCCTGTTATTTAACGTCTACATCCGGCCACTTGCTGGACTGGGACAACCGCGATTCCTGAGAACTTTAGGCTGTGTTTGGAAGCAGTGATGAGTTGGCTGCGAGCGAGCAGACCAAAAGTGAATCCTGCAAAAACTGAGATACTCTGGCCTGGCCAGCCACCAGAATTAATCCAGTCTCTGCCTGATTTCGATGGGGAAGCTCTGGTTCCATCTTCCACTGTTAAAAGCCTTGGGGTTGTGTTGGACTCATCGCTGACGATGGAGGCCCAGATCACTGCCATAAGTAAGCAGGCCTTTTTCATCTTCGCCAGGCAAGGAAATTGGCATCCTACCTTTCGGTAGAAGCATTGGCAGCGGTAATCCACACAGCAGTCACCACTAGGTTGGACTATTGCAATGCCTTATATGCCGGCCTTCTGAAGTCAACAACTCAGAAGATTCGGATGGTCCAAAATGCGGCGGCCAGGCTGCTAGCGGGATCATCTATAAGATCCCATATTACACCGATTCTGCAACAACTGCATTGGCTACCAATAGAACATCGGATCTCTTACAAGATACTGATCCTGACATTTAGAGCTCAAAATGGCCAAGGACCTTTATATCTTAGGGACCGCCTCATTCCTTTTCTCCATCAGTGGTTACCTCAATCCACCCAAGAAAATCTCCTATACATACCAGGCCCTAGGGAGGTACACCTGGAAGCTACACGGCGTAGAGCTTTTTCGATCTATGCTCCAGTTCAGTGGAACTCATTGCCTCCATATATTAGAGCAATGTCAGAGTTGCAACCTTTTGTAAAGGCCCTCAAGACTTGGCTGTTTGGTTGTGCATTTAAGCAAAGTGATCAGATCTAATTTGCCAAATAGTCATGTTTTTATGTTGAATGTTTTTATATTGTGTAAATGCTATTTTAAATTGTAAGTCGCTCGGAGCACCTTGGTGGAGAGTGACTAATTAAGAAGTGAAATGAAGAAGTGAAGTGAAAACACACATGTGGTCAGCAGGAGTATAAGGCTCCATCTTAGGGAGGAAGCAAGCAAATCATGAAGGTTACAGTGAATCCATGAGAAACAACATGGGGAGAAATCTCACAGGCAAGGGAGTAAAGTTCAGAGGCACGACTTCGTGGCTTGTGGTCCTTAAATCAGAGAATTGTTTCCTTTAGAATTCAGATCAGGCAACACTGCATTACAGTGAGGATCTTGAGTCTTGTTTCAAGTTCATGTCATAGTCTAAGATTTTGGGAGTTCATAGATTCGTGTTTTAAGAAATTCTTATAAGTTTTAGTTTTGGATTTATGCTCATGTTTTGATTCTTGCTTTTCCTAGACTTACAGTCATGTTTTGATTCTTGTTTTTCCTGTACCTTGTTTTATGGAACAGATTTGGACTATTTGAATTATTGCCTTTGGAATGTTTTGTTCCCATTGCCAGTTTGGTTTGGCCTATTACTTTTTGACTGCTTTCCCCCCACTACCTGTTGGATTTTGCCTTTCTCATTTCCTGTGGTGACATTTCCTTTTTATGTGTGTTTTTCTCAATAAACTGTTTTATGCACCGCTGTGTTATTGTTTATGTTTTTTGCTTTGTTTATGAGTTTTTATTAAATTATTGTACTGTTGTTGTGTTTTATTGATGTATTGAGCTCGGCCTCTTGTAAGCCGCACCGAGTCCTTCGGGAGATGGTAGCGGGGTATGAATAAAGGTTTATTATTATTATTATTATTATTATTATTATTATTATTATTTTACTATTGCTTTTGGATTCCTGGTTGGTGTTGAGTGCAAGGTGAATTCTGGCTGGGCTGCACCAGTGTATTTTATATTCATGTCTTTCTTCTAGTGAGCAGGGAAGGAGAGAGAGAGAAAGAAAGAGAGAAAGGTGGTTTCCAAAGATGATACATCACAATAGTAAAAGATTTCTGAAGATGGTGGAAGTTTACTAAACTGGCAAGGAACACACTGCAAGAGCCATGGTTAGTCTTTGACCGTCGCTCTCTGCAACCGGGCCTCGTCTGAATATTCTGTTGGCTCCTCGCCGGTTTCATTGAGTAGGATGGTCCTCATGATGGCCTCCGTCACGGCGTAGGGGTCGCAGTTGGCCGAAGGCCGGCGGTCCTCGAAGTAACCACGGCCGTCCTGCCCAACCTGGCGGGGGATTCGGATGCTGGCCCCACGGTTGGCCACACCGGCTGAGAATTCGTTGATGCTGGAGGTCTCGTGGTGGCCAGTCAGCCGCCGGGAGTTGTCCTGCCCTCCTCTGGGGTCGTACATCCGGATGTGGTATTGGTGGCGCTTGCTTAGCTTCTCAATTGCGGCTTCAATGTACCTAAAAGGGAATTGGGAAGACACAGGTGAAGAAACCAATACCAAAAAGGAAAGGATTTGGGGACTATGCATTCAATTTCTGAGCAGTAAAAAAGGACAGTGTGGCACAATGGTCACAATATTGGGCTGAGACTTGGCAGAGCTGGAAGTTTAGTACCTTTCAAGGATTCTATAGGCCCTCAAGCATGACTCCATGGTCAACTTCCAGCAACAGTTGACCATAACATCGTACTGAGGGACATACGAATGCCTTGAGAAGTGTCCTCTCTAGGACCTCCAGCACAGCTATAAGAATGTTGACCAGAGTCAACTACATTGAGAGATTTCTAGAGGACATACTTCTCTAGGATTTATAGGTCCTCTAGGAAATACTTTGGTCTGGTAGAAGAACTAGAGATTCCTAAAGAGATCGTATTAACCCATGAATAATCGGACTGTATTCCCAAACTCTTTGCACTGAGAGGTGACATAAGGGGCCACGGTTGGCACAATGGGTTAAACCCTTGTGCTGCTGAATCTGCTGACCTGAAGGTTGGCAGTTCAAAGCTGCAAATTGGGGTGAGCTCCCACTGTTAGCCCTAGCTCCTCAACCTAGCAGTTCGAAAACATGACTGTGAGTAGGGGGAGGTAATAAAGGCACCCATGTAGTCATGCCAGCAACACAACCAGGAGGTTGTTGTAGGTTTTTTCGGGCTATATGACCATGGTCTAGAGGCATTCTCTCCTGACATTTCTATGGCAAGCATCCTCAGAGGTAGTGACCTCTGAGGATGCTTGCCACTACCTCTGAGGATGCTTGCCATAGATACAGGTGAAACGTCAAGAGATAATGCCTCTAGACCAGTGTTTCTCAACCTGGGGGTCGGGACCCCTGGGGGGGTCGCGAGAGGGTGTCCGAGGGGTCGCCAAAGACCATCAGAAAACACAGTATTTTCTCTTGGTCATCTGGGTTACGTGTAAAAAGTTAGGTCCAATTCCATTGTTGGCGGGGTTCAGAACGTTCTTTGATTGTAGGTGAACGATCAATCCCAGCAACTACAACTCCCAAATGCCAAGGTCTATTTCCCCCGAACTCCACTAGTATTCACATTTGGGCATACTGAGTATTTGTGCCAAATTTGGTCCTGATCCATCATTGTTTGAGTCCACAGATGTAGGTGAACTACAACTCCCAAACTCAAGATCCATGCCCGCCAAACCCTGCTGGTGTTTTATGTTGGTCATGGGAGTCCTGTGTGCCAAGATTAGTTCAGTTCCATCATTGGTGGAGATCAGAATGCTCTTTGATTGTAGATGAACTATAAATCCCAGCAAGTACAACTCTCAAATGATAAAACCAATCACCCACAAACCCCAGCAGTATTCAAATTTGGGCATATTGGGTATTTGTGCCAAATTTGGCCCAGTGAATGAAAATACATCCTGCATATCGGATATTTACATTACGATTCATAACAGGAGAAAATAATGTTATGGTTGGGGGTCACCACCACATGAGGAACTGTATTAAGGGGTCGCGGCACTAGGAAGGTTGAGAACCAATGCTCTAGACCATGGCATATAGCCCGAAAAACCTACAACAACCCAGTGATTCCGCCCATGAAAGCCTTCGACACAACCAGGAGGTGTCTATGGACAACAGGCTCCTCGGCTTAGAAGTGGAAAAAGAGCACCTCCCCATGGCCGGAGTTGAGCACCACCTCCAGAAGCCAGAGATGAAAGGGAAAGCTTTTTCCTTTGCTCTCTGTATTTGTGTGTCATTGTTATTCCATGGTATTAAAGGTATTGAATGTTTGCCTATCTGTGTATGTTGTAATCCGCTCCGAGTCCCTTCAGGGAGATAGAGCGGAATATAAATAAAGCGTTATTATTATAATATGATTATTACATTTCCTAAACTGGCCAAAGTTTAGTCACAAGATGGGCTTTGGCACAAAGAGGCCTTCACTCACTTGATGCCACCTTCTCCTCTCGTTTCCGCAGTGCTAACGTTAGTGTGGCACCCAGCTCCGTTCCAGTTGCCGGTCATGGGTTTGGGGTCAAAGGTGGCCACCACCCCAAAATCTTCACAGACCCGGTGCAGAATAAACCTGGCCATCCAGAGATGGTCACCTATCTCGATTCCTTCACAAGGTCCAACCTGGAATTCCCACTACAGGAGAGAAGAGACAGGTAAGTTGTATTGAAATGTGTTAAATGGAAATAGAAAACTGCAGATTAAAAGAAAACAGGAGTTTTTCCCATTTTCTCTCCCTGGATTCTCCAGGGAAACTGTACGGTCAGCTTCTGTTGGATCATACAGTCACCTTGGAAGGCCAAAATATTCCTTGAGAAATCAAATCTGCAAAATTTAAACCTGGAATGTAAAGGTGACCCATGGAAATTGGGAGGAAAGGCAGAGTATTTCTCCATCTAGTCTAGCATGATCCATTTTGGCTGGTATTGGCTTTCTATGGTTTCGAGGCAGAAGGGTTCTTTCCTATGACTAACTAGGGTCATGGTCCAATGGGTTAAGCCAGTATTTCTCAACCTAGGGGTCGGGACCCCCGGGTGGGTCGCGAGGGGGTGTCAGAGGGGTCGCCAAGACCACCAGAAAACACAGTATTTCTGTTAGTCGTGGGGGTTCTGTGTGGGAAGTTTGGCCCAATTCTATAGTTGGTGGGGTTCGGAATGCTCTTTGATTGTAGGTGAACTATAAATCCCAGCAACTACAACTCCCAAATTACAAGGTCTATTTCCCCCAAACTCCACCAGAGTTCACATTTGAGCATATTGAGTATTCATGCCATGTTTAGTCCAGATCCATCATTGAGTCCACAGGGCTCTCTGGATGTAGGTGAACTACAACTCCAAAACTCAAGGTCGGTGCCCACCAAACCCTTCTGGTATTTTCTGTTGGTCATGGGAGTTCTGTGTGTCAAGTTTGGTTCAATTCCATCGCTGGTGGAGTTCAGAATGCTCTTTGATTTTATGTGAACTATAAATCTCAATAACTATAAATCTCAATAACTACAACTACAACCCCACCAGTACTCAAATTTGGGCATATCGGGTATTTGTGCCAAATTTGTGAATGAAAATACATTCTGCATATCAAGTGTTTACATTACGATTCATAACAGTAGCAAAATTACAGTTATGATATAGCAACGAAAATAATCTTATGGTTGGGGGTCACCACAACATCAGGAATTGTATTAAGGAAGTTTGAGAAACACTGGGTTAAGCACTGGGTTAAGCTCTTTTGCTGCTGAACTGCTGACCTGAAGGTTGGCAGTTCGAATCCGCAGGATGGGTGAGCTCCCACTGTTAGCCCTAGCAGTTCAAAAACATGCCAATGTGAGTAAATAGGTGAAAAGGCAGAAAGACACTCATGCCGGCAACACAACCAGGAGGTGTCTACACAGGCTTCCCAGCTTGGAAATGGAGAAGAGCATCACATCTGGAGCCGGAAATGAAAGGAGAAGCCTTTGCCTTTGTGTATGTTTGTGTGTGTCATTGTATGTGGTTATAACAAGGCATTGAATGTTTGCCTGTGCCTGCTTTATATGCTGTAATCTGCTCTGAGTCCTCTTTGGGAGAAAGGTGGAATATAAATAAAGTGTTATTACCTATCTCCGTCCTATTTAACTATAGACACGGGACCCAAAACCCAAACCCTCTGCAAATATACCTGAGAAGGCATGACCTCGGCGTTGGTGCCAGCAATCTCTACCCCGGCGTAAAGGCAGGCTTTGTAGTGAGCCTCCACAATGTCCCGTCCGTAAACTTTGTCCGCCCCGACTCCACAGTAATATGGTCCTGGAAAAGAAGGCACAACGTTGACATGGATTCCAGGTGGCCGTGTTATTGCCAAAGAGCATCCTTTGGACACCCAAGTCTATGTGACTGCAAATAAAAACTCATTTAGGGAGTTATCCAAGATATGGAAGATATTTTCTAAAGGAGCTATCTGGGGTGCTGAACGCTACCAACATGCTGCTTCTAAAGGATCTATCCAAGGTGCTGAACTTATTTTATGTGCTGGTACGGCTGTACCAAAAGCTCCAACTTCCTTTTCTTTCTTTGAGCGTTTGCATGTATTCCAAAGTTTCATGCATTTTGCAATAAGGTGGCTTCCCTTGGTTTGCAATTATAGGGCCAACGACCCATCAATCATTGTTAAGTTTTGGTTCCGCCCCTTTCCCCAGGGCTCTGGGAGGAGAGGGAGCCATTTTAGGTCAGTCTTGCATTGGAAAGCTTAGCTACAGGATGTGGATTAGCTCTACCTGTAGAGAATCTTCATTTCTCAGAGCATCCAGGGGAAATTCCAGGGGGAAACAGTTCCAAAGGACTCCAGCTGGAGAATCTACAAAGCCTTTACTGGTAGGTCTACTCGGGACCCAAGAAGCAGTTTGGAGCCGAGAGTAGAGCCCACACCAGCTGAAGAATCTACAAAGCCTTGACTGGTAGGTCTACTCGGGACCCAAGAAGCAGTTTGGAGCCGGGAGTAGAGCCCACACCAGCTGGAGAATCTACAAAGCCTTGACTGGTAGGTCTATTCGGGACCCAAGAAGCAGTTTGGCGCCGAGAGTAGAGCCCACACCAGCTGGAGAATCTACAAAGCCTTGACTGGTAGGTCTACTCAGGACCCAAGAAGCAGTTTGGAGCCGGGAGTAGAGCCCACACCAGCTGGAGAATCTACAAAGCCTTGACTGGTAGGTCTACTCAGGACCCAAGAAGCAGCTTGGAGCCGGGAGTAGAGCCCACACCAGCTGGAGAATCTACAAAGCCTTGACTGGTAGGTCTACTCAGGACCCAAGAAGCAGTTTAGTGTTCACTGTAGAAATAAGCCAAGATTTTTCAAAACAAAGATCCACAGTGACCTCAGACAATTTAATTAAACCTCATATGACTAGCGGAATATTTCCTCAATAAGAAGACAAGGGACTTATTTTTCTAGAAAGCAACTCACTCACAATAGCAAGTGGCACGCGGAAAATGACAACAGCTTTATTAAGGGGAAACTTTAAGGATTCACTTAGTGTTTAAGACTGAAATTGCTCTGCTGCTCTGTATGGGCTGTGCTTATCAGCTTTGCTTTTGGTCCTCCTTCAAACACTATTCAGATCCGTTCCAAAGGGCAGCCGAGAAAGTGTAAACAATAGGCATGTGAAATCCATTAAAAATGGCTCTAAACTCCTTCCAAAAATAGGGGGCGCTGGCGCTTCATTTCCCGAATTTTAGGTGGTGAAAATTTTGGAATTTAACAAAAATTATGTATCTTCGTAAATCCTTCGTTAATGGAAGTTATTGAGTTGCCTGAGGGCTGAGAAGGGCAGTATACAAATATATTAAATAAATGAATAAATAAGTTGTACATGCTCAATAAGGAAGACATCACTGCCAGTGGGGAAACTTCAGGGGCATCTATCTCCCTCATTTTTAAAGATATTGAGATGAAACTTGCTACAGTGGTAGAACACATTTACTACTCTTTGCCCACCAAATTTCAGAACATTTGACTTATCCACAGATTTTTGGCGAATTTATATTAAAAGTGTATTTTAAAAAATCTACCTTCGCCTCCCTCCTTCATTAGCCCTGATGGGCTGAGAAGCATGCCAACATGTTTGGCTTCACCTCTCAGCAGGGCTTGGTTGCCCGGTAAATTTTAGCTGTGCCATAACTACTTCCGGAGACATCTGTTGTGGCTGAGCTAGTTTCCGACGATGAGGATGATGGGATTCAGATTCCTGTTGGGTTTCAGCTTCCTGGCTCTTTGTCTGTGCCTCAAATCTCTGAGCCTGCTTCCGAGGCTCTCACAGACAGTGCAGTGTCAACACAGCTGTCTTCACCAGAAAGGAATTTTAACGAAGGGAATAGCGAACAGGTGCCTTCCCACGATGATACCGAAAGTGTAGTTAAGGATTTGACCCAAGAAGCTCACCTTGATCTCTGGGTCAGGTGGAGTTTGCGTCTGGCAAGCAGACAGGAGGCTAGCTCGGTGCGAGGTCATCGCAATGCTTTTATGATGCCGAGAGCCTAATGTTTTGATGTTAGAAAGGTATTTAGGCCTCCTGGAAACTCTGTGAAACCTTCAGTTCAACGTAGCTTAGTAGCCTTAAAGATTCATGGAATAACCTTAGCCTGGAAAGCAGTACGCTTGGGATTTCTTGCATTGTGATTCTTGGGGCAAATGTTCTCGCCTGGCCGGCAGATGAGAAGCCAGCTCGGTGAAAGGTCATCACAATGATTTCATGTAATGTTGACATGTTAGAAAGGTATTTAGGCTTCTTGCAAACCAAGGGAAAGTGTCAGTTCAACATAGCTTATTAGCCTGAAAGCTTCATGGAATAACCTTAGCCTGGAAAGCAGTACGCTTGGGATTTCTTGCATTGTGATTCTTGGGGCAAATGTTTCATTGCTTGTACCTGGGACTCTGGTTTGAACGTTGCCAATAGGATTATGTCTCCTGCTTTTACCTGAAGATCTTTGGAACTGTATTCTGCATTTAACCTTAATCTCTGGGACTTTGCAATGCTTATTCTTTATTTTGATTTGGATTTTTCCTCAATAAACTATAAAACTACAGCTCTTGTGTGGTGGTGTTTAGAAGCAAGGTGAAGCCTACTCTGAGTTGCAGCAACATCTGAGGCTTAAGAATTGATTCAAAATCTTAATATTGGGGGGCGTGACGGAACTCTCTACGAAAGTGCTGTACTTCCGAATAACTTACGACTTCCGAATACATCAGCACCAAATGAACACTTCTAGTAAATAAGAATGGTTCCCACCTTCGAAACAGTCAACAAAACTTAAGACTGTCTGCTTTGAAGATGAAGTATCAACAAAAGAGAAGAAGCACAACCTTTTCTGCCTCTTACGAAATTCTGTGCCACACAAAACACCCACTTAATGATATAGAATGATTCTTACCTTGTGGGCCTGGGAACCCGTTTTCAGGCCAGCCGTAGGGGTGCCCGTTGATGCCAAGTAAAGTGTATTCCTGCTCTATCCCAAACCAGGGATGGCTGTCTTTGACCATATCCATAATTCTTTTACAGCTGTTCCTCAAGTTGGTTTCTGTAAGAAAGGAGAGGGTTTTGGCACCCCTTTGGCAACTTCTCTGCAATACACAATTACTACTATCACAGTCTGATATCACTTTAACAGTTGTGTCTCCATCCTGTGTTTGGGAGGCTTTAGCACAGTAGATTAATCACCAAACTGCAATAAATCTTGCCAACCAGAAGGTTGACAGTTCGAAGCTTGGGTCAGGGTGAGATGGCCCTGATAGTTCACTGCAGACTACCTAGAGAAGCCACTGAAATCCATAATCATGTGGACAATTTCAACAGAAAGGAGGAAACCATGAAAATGAACAAAATACTGGCTCCCAGTATTAAAGAACTCTAAAATCAGGACAGTAAATAATGATCAACACTCAGAAAACAGGGGAATTCTAGGCAGGAAACAATCAGGGCCAGCTAACACCTCCCAACAAAGGATTCCCTCAGCCAGGCTTGGCAAGGCCATTCAGTGCTAATCAAGCTGGCCAGTGGCAACAGCCACACTTGTCAACTCCCCTGTTTAAGGAACTTCACTGGCTTCCGTTTGTCTTCTGGTCCCAATTCAAGGTGCAGGTTATCACCTACAAAGCCCTAAACAGTTTGGGACCCTCCTCCCTTTGTGACCGGATCTCTCTCCATGAACCAGCCCGAGCTCTTAGATCCTCGGGGGAGGCTCTCCTTTCGCCTTTGCCATTATCACAGGCTCGTCTTGTAAGGACAAGGGAGAGGGCCTTCTCCACTGTGGCCCCCGACTCCATAACTCATTGCCTGGTGAGATTAGGAAGGCCCCCATCTTAGAAACTTTCAAGAGGTATCTCAAAACCTGGCTTTTCCGATGCGCTTTTGGAGAGTAGCCATATTATCATACACAGTTGCTCCCCCTCAACCATTTTTTGTCTCCAGAGTATATTTTCCCACCTGTATGAATGTCTATTTTTATGACCCCATTCCTTTATGAGTTTCTCCCTCACAAACAACCTGCTCCATCCCTGTCTTATCCTGATTTTAGTATTTTTAGTGTTTTAGTTTTTATCTTGCACATGTTATTTTATTGTGTACTAGCTGTCCCCTGCCACGCGTTGCTGTGGCCCACATGGGGGTTCTGTGTGGGAGGTGTGGTCCAATTCTGTCGTTGGTGGGGTTCAGAATGCTCTGTGATTGTAGGTGAACTATAAATCCCAGCAACTACAACTCCCAAATGTCAAGATTCTATTTTTCCCAAACTCCACTAGTGTTCACATTTTGGGCATATGGAGTATTCGTGTAGAGTTTGATCCAGATCCATCATTGTTTGAGTCCACAGCGCTCTCTGGATGTAGGTGAACTACAACTCCAAAACCAAAGGACACTGCCCACCAAACCCTTCCAGTATTTTCTGTTGGTTATGGGAGAACTGTGTGCCAAATTGGGTTCAATGCCATCATTGGTGGGGTTCAGAATGCTCTTTGATTGCAGGTGAACTATAAATCCCAGCAACTTCATCTCCCAAATGACAAAATACTTTTTTTGAGTGAAGGACATACATTGGGTTGTTAGGTGTCTTGTGTCCAAATTTGGTGTCAATTCGTCCAGTGGTTTTTGAGTTATGTTAATCCCACAAACGAACATTACATTTTTATTTATATAGATGATTTTGCTTTATCGGGTTTTTTTGGGGGGGACTTATATGTTGTATGTATTTTACTGTGTTGTTATTGTGTTTGGATTTTATTTTATTGTAATATGCTGTTGGGCTTGGGCTCATGTAAGCCACCCCGAGTCCCCATTGGAGACATGGAGGGGTATTAAAGAAAGATTATTATTATTATTATTATTATTATTATTATTATTATTATTATTATTATTGTCTCAAGCAAACAAGAGTTCTTTTTCCCACCCTGGACATCACTCCACAGGTATATAAACCCCACTTGCCTAGTTTCCAACAGACCTCACAACCTCGGAGGATGCCTGCCATAGATGTGGTGAAACGTCAGGAGAGAATGCTTCTGGAACATGGTCACACAGCCCAGAAAACTCACAGCAACCCATGGTAGAAATTGTCTCCATAGTCCTTTGGGGGACGTTTTGGAGCCCAACCCATAAAGCTCTAACAAGAAGGTTTACTGCATCACAGGAGTGGGCCAGTGTCTCTCCTTCCACACAGAGAATTGCAATGGGGCATGTTAGAGAAAGAAAACGAGGACAAAAAGAGCGAAATGGAGACTCACCTGCCCGCTTGTGGTTGTATTTCAGAACCTCACACAACACCAGCTTGTTGGGGTCCAGACAGAAAGGGTCTCTGAATATCCTAACCGGTATCAAGAACATGTCGCTGTTGGAGCCTTCGGCTTGGCCCGTGCTGGATCCATCGAAGTTCCATTGAGGGAGATCTGCGGGAAGACATCGAATCAACTACACTATGTAACAACATTTGAAAAATATTCTATTCCTGGTTTGAAAGTGTTATTTGCTGTTTTATTGTGCGGTCCTTACTGATTTATGCTATTTGTATTTTTCAGTGTCCAAGTTTATAATATAATTTATAATATTATAATACAATACAATATAATAATACAATATTATAATTATATATTTTATATTACATGTAATATTACTAATAATATTACAATATAATGGTATAGTACAATATAGTAATATATAATACTGATATTACTACAACTTACCTGTCCGAACGCATCTCCCCTTATGAACCCTCCAGGACTTTAAGATCGTCCGGGGAGGCCCTGCTCTCCATTCCGCCTTCGTCACAAGTACGGCTGGCGGGGCCGAAAGACAGGGCCTTCTCCGTGGTGGCCCCTCCCAAGGAACGCCCTCCCTAGGGATATTAGATTGGCCCTTCCCTTTTAACATTTCGAAAGCAGGTCAAGACTTGGCGTTTGCAGACACAATACAGCAGACATGGAGAAAAAAACGGAACAACTCAACGATGCTATTGGATAACGCTTTTAACTAGGAGACTCAAATTGATATTTTTTTTAATTGATTGTTTTACTTGGTTTTATACTTAAATTGACTGTTTTTAATTGTATTTTATGTCTTTGATACTGACCGTAAACCGCCCTGAGTTGCCTGCGGGCTGAATGTAGTAAATAAAAATAAATAAACAATAAATTATATTGTACTATGCTAATAATATAATATATTGAATCCCCTTCGGGATGAGAAGGGTGGCATATAAATGTCATAAATAAATAAATAAATAGTGAGTTGAACTGGATAAGTCTTGGCATCTCTTCCAACCCTAAGATTCTTTGCTTTGAAGGTTGGTGAAGAGAACTAAGAAAAGTTTACTGAACTTTGCGCATGCTCAAAAGTGCTGGCTATAAAAACTGAACAACACCTCAATTCAATGTGGCACTTCCTACCCAGCAAGGTGACATGCTCAATTAAACCTGTTGCAACAATCTCCTGCTTTCAGTGCTTGATTGAATTTTAAAAACACTGAAGGTTTTGGGACAAATTAATAAGAGGGAATGGTTTTATTTTTAATGGGAGGAACCTGGGACCTGACCACTTTTTGGAGACGTTTTCTCCTTTGGTCAAGTCTCCATGGTTGAGTCGAACACAGCTGGATGCCGGAGGTGAAATAATAATAATAATAATAATAATAATAATAATAACACTTTATTTATACCCCGCTACCATCTCCCCAAGGGACTTGGTGCGGCTTACATGAGGCCGAGCCCGAATACAACAGTACAAGCAATACAACATTATCAATAAGACAACACACAATTAAAAACAGTGGGAAGGCCAAATGTGAAGTTAAAATTGGAAGTGATGCTGGGACATGGACGAAAAGGTGATAGTGGCGTTTGTGGAAGGGCATACGAGCAGACCTAAAAATGTAAAGTGCTTGGGGGACAGTGCTATGGCATCATTATTCCGGGAAGGCACACTGCAACAACCACATCTTCAAGCTCCTCCTAAAGACTGCCAGAGTTGGGGCCTGTCTGATGTCTTTAGGGAGAGAGTTCCAGAGTCGAGGGGCCACCACCAAAAAGGCCCTCTCTCTCGTCCCCACCAATCATGCCTGCGATGCTGGCAGGGCCTCTCCAGATGATCGAAGGGATCGTATAGGTTCGTATACAGAGATGCGGTCACGCAGGTAGGCGGGGCCCAAACCGTTCAGGGCTTTGTAGGTAAGAACCTGCACCTTGAATTGGGTCCGGAAAATGAATGGCAGCCAGTGGAGCTCCTTGAACAGGAGGGTTGACCGCTCCCTGTAAGGCGCCCCACTTAACAACCTGGCCGCCCCCCGTTGGATCATCTGAAATTTCCGGGCCATTTTCAAGGGCAGCCCCATGTAGAGTGCATTGCAGTAATCCAATCTAGAGGTGACTAAGGCATGGACCACTTTGTCCAGATCCAAAGTGAAAAGAGGGAAGCCTTGCCTCTGTTTATGTACTGTCTGTCTCTGTCAATTGTATAACGGCATTGAATATGTGCCATATATGTAGCTGTAACCCACTCTGGGTCCCCTCAGGGAGATAGAGCGGAATATAAATAAAGTACCATAAATACTCGAGTATAAGCCGACTTGAATATAAGCCGAGACACCTAATTTTACCACAAAAAACTGGGAAAATGTATTGACTCGAGTATAAGCCGAGGGTGAGAAATGCAGCAGCTACTGGTAAGTTTCAAAATAGAAATAGATACCAATAAAATTACATTAATTGAGGCATCAGTAGAGTAAATATTCAAAAATATTAACATAAAATTGTAATTTAAGACAAAGCTGTCCAACTCTGATTAAACCATTATTCTAACGTTCTTTGATGTAAATGTGCTTACATATCCTTCCAATAATAATAAAGGGAGTAAAATAATAAATGCAATAAAAATAATAATAGAGTAAAATAATGGAAATGGAATAACAGGAATAAGAGAGTAAAGTAATAAATGTAATAATAACACTAATAAATAGAGTAAAATAATAAATGATGTAATAACAATAAAGAGTAAAATAATAAATGTAATAACAACAATAATAGAGTAAAATAATAAATGTTATAATAACCATAAAGAGTAAAATAATAAATGTAATAAAAATAATAATAAATAGAGTAATTTTTTTTTTGTCGTGTCAGGAGCGACTTGAGAAATTGCAAGTCACTTCTGGTGTGAGAGAATTGGTCGTCTGCAAGAACATTGCCCAGAGGACGCCCAGATGATTTTTTGATGTTTTTATCATCCTTGTGGGAGGCTTCTCTCATGTCCCTGCATGCGGAGCTGGAGCTGATAGAGGGAGCTTATCCGCCTCTCCCCGGATTCGAACCTGCGACCTGTCGGTCTTCAGTCCTGCCAGCACAGGGGTTTAACCCACTGCGCCACCGGGGGCTCCAGAGTAAAATAATAAATGCAATAAAAATAATACTAATAACAGAGTAAAATAGTAAATAACATTGTTGCAGGTTTTTCCGGGCTATATGGCCATGTTTTAGAGGCATTTTCTCCTGACATTTTGCCTGCATCGATGGCAAGCATCCTCAGAGGTAGTGAGGTCTGTTGGAAGTAGGAAAATGGGTTTATATATCTGTGGAAAGTCCATGGTGGGACAAAGAACTTTTGTCTGCTGGAGCTAGGTATGAATGTTTCAACTGACTACCTTGATTAGCATTTAATGGCTTGGAAGTACCTGGGGGAATCTTTTGTTGGGAGTGATTTGATGTGCCTGATTGTTTACTCTCTGTTGTTTTGCTGTTGTAAATAACTTTGACTCGAGTATAAGCCGAGGGGAGATTTTTCAGCCTAAAAAAGGGGCTGAAAAACTAGGCTTATACTCGAGCATATATAGTATATTATTATTATTTTGAACTTACTTGAGTTCAACCTAGATTTAGTCTAAAGATGCAAATTCTCGGCGAGATTTCCCCGTAACAAAAGCCCATGATGATAAACACCAATCTAGCTAAGGCTTAGTCTGACTTCCTCCATTCCTTGTGGTCAGAGTTAAGATTAGCTGGCCTAAATCGCCCACTTTTTGCGTCGGTTTTGCACAATCCCAACTGAAACGCCCCGAGAGGAAACCAAAGTTGCCTTTGGGCAAACCTTCAAGAAGGAAAAACTAGAAAGACCAGACTGAAACAAAAGCAAGTGTCAGGCCAAATGGTGGCTTATCCTCATCTCAAAAAAGGACTCTAAAACAGAGATTGACAGGCCCAAATGGATGGCAACCCAAACTGGAAAGGGTGGTGGACTTTACCTTCAACGCTCTTTGGTTCCTTGTCGAAGGTCCTGGTTTTGCAGCGAAGGCCTTCCCCAGACCCATCGATCCAAATGTAGGTGGCTAGGATTTTCTTCCCTTGAGGTAGCTTCATGTACTGGTCTCTGACCCCCTTGTTTAGCTTGGAACTGTGTGACACAGACATGATGGTAATCTAAGGGAAGGAAGAAAGAATGCCTTTAAATCAGTGTTTCTCAACCTTCCTAATGCAGCAACCCCTTGATACAGTGCCTCATGTTGTAGTGACTCCCAACCATATTTTCGTTGCTACTTCAGAACTGTAATTTGCTACTGTTATGAATCGCAATGTAAATATCTGATCTGCAAGATGTATTTTCATTCACTGGACCAAATTTGGCACAAATACCCAATGCACCCACATCTGAATACTGGAGGGGTTGGGGGGGGGGGATTGATGAGTTGTAGTTGCTGGGATTTATAGTTCACCTACAATCAAAGAGCATTCTGAACTCCACCAACTCCACCAACCATGGAATTGAACCAAACTTGGCACACAGAACTCCCACGACCAACAGAAAACACTGGCCACAAGACACCTACTAACCCAAAGAGTGACCATCACTCCAAAAAATTGAATTTGTCATTTGGGAGTTGTAGTTGCTGGGACTTATAGTTCACCTACAATCAAAGAGCATTCTGAACTCCACCAACGTTAAGAGTTTAATCAAACTTGGCACACAGAACTCCCACGACCAACAGAAAACACTGGAAGGGTTTGGTGGGCATTGACCTTGAGTTTTGAAGTTGTAGTTCAATTACATCCAGAGAGCACCATGGACTCAAACAAGGATGGATCTGGACCAAACTTGGCATGGATACTCAATATGTCCAAATGTGAATACTGAGAAAAATAGACCTTGACATTTGGGAGTTGTGGTTGCTGGGATTTATAGTTCACCTACAATCAAAGAGCATTCTGAACTCCACCAACGAAAGAATTGAATCAAACTTGGCACACAGAACTCCCACAGCCAACAGAAAACACTGGAAGGGTTTGGTGGGCTTTAACCTTGAGTTTTGGAGTTGTAGTTCAACTACATCCAGAGAGCACTGTGGACTCAAACAATGATGGATGTGGACCAAACTTGGCATGGATACTCAGTATGTCCAAATGTGAATTCTAGTGGATTCTGGCGAAACTAGACCTAAATATTTGGGAGTTGTAGTTGCTGGGATTTATAGTTCACCTGCAATCAAAGAGTTGAACCACTCTTGGCACACAGAACTTCCACAACCAAAAGAAAACACTGTGTTTTCTGATGGTCTTTGGCAACCCCACTGACACCCCCTTTGTGACTCCTCAGGGGTCCTGACCCCCAGGTTGAGAAATGCTGAGCTACGATAATACCGAGATATTTAGGATGGGGAACATGGAAAGAGCATCCATGATGACTGAGTGAATGCGTCTCCTGGGCAACGTTTCTTGTAAACAGCTAAGCTTTCCAAACCCAAAAGCATTGCTTTTAAACATTTTGAAATGGAGGTATGGTTTTTTCCCCCCTCCACAAATGGGGAAGGCCTACTTTCATTAAAAGGTTTTTTAAAAGGTCAATAATTAAGAGGCCGAATGTGCTTCTTTCGGGAGGAATTTCCAGAGCCGTGGGGCCACCACCAAAAAGTCCCTCTCTCGTTCCAACCAACCTTACTTGTGATGGTGGTGGGACCGAGAGGAGGGCCTCTCCCGATGATCTCAGGGCTAGTGTGGACTGTTAGGAGGATATGTAGTCCCTCTTTGCCAGTTGCTTGAGAGTCCCAGTTAACTGAGAGCCTACTTTATAAAATACAGCAACTTCAAAGGGGCCCTTTCCCCACTCCCTCAGCCCCACAGGCAGAGAGGTCTTGCAAAACTAATACAAACTCACGAAAGCAGAAGGAAATAAAGCTGACGTGGAAAGGGCATCACACCCTCTGCCCATTTCGGAGGATGATTGCATTAGCAGCCACACAAAAACCCAAGGGCCAGGGTGGAGCTGCAGATAACCTTCAAGGTAAACAAGGCACCCAATTTAATCTCCTTGCGAGGGAGGGTTCTTTCAGCCGCAACTCTTGCGGGCGAATGGTAGGATCCAAGGATACTGGTGGGTTTTGAGGGGAATTGGCCTGCACATTTTGGAGTTGTGGGTACTGGGATTTATAGTTCACCTGCAATCAAGGAGCACCCTGAACTCCACCAAAGATGGAATTGGACCAAACTTGGTACACAGAGTCCCTACGAACAGCAAAAAATACTGAAGGCCCCTGAGGAAAATCCACCTTGATTTGGGGGAGTTATAGTTCACCCAGAGAGCACTGTGAACCCAAACATCAATGGATCCGGACCAAACTTGGCACAGAGACCTGATATGTTGAAATTTGATTACTGGAGGGGTTGGGGGGGGGGGAATGGACCTTCCTTTCTGGGAGTTGCAGTTCACCCACAACCAGAGAAATTGTGACCTCCACCAATGATGGACCTGGACCACACTTGGCACACAGAACCRCTATGAATAARTCAACCTACTGGAGGAGTTTGAYGGGACTGARTCACRAGTYTGGYAGTTGTAGTTCACCTACATCCAGAGAYCACTGTGAACKCAAACATCAATGGATCCAGACCAAACTTGGCACACAGACCTGATATGTTGAAATTTGATTACTGGAGGGGTTTGGGGGGAATGGYRATTCCTTTCTGGGAGTTGTAGTTCACGCACAACCAGAGAAATGGTGACCTCCACCAATGATGGACCTGGACCACACTTGGCACACTTAAACCCCTACGAATAACTCAACCTACTGGAGGAGTTTGAGTGATTCACCAGTYTGGGAGTTGTAGTTCACCTACATCCAGAGAGCACTGTGAACKCAAACATCAATGGATCCAGACCAAACTTGGCACASAGACCTGATATGTTGAAATTTGATTACTGGAGGGGTTTGGGGGGAATGGYRATTCCTTTCTGGGAGTTGTAGTTCACACACAACCAGAGAAATGGTGAGCTCCACTGATGATGGACCTGGACCACACTTGGCACACAGAACCCCTATGAATAACTCAACCTACTGGAGGAGTTTGAGGGGACTGACTCACCAGTGTGGAAGTTGTAGTTCACCTACATCCAGAGAACACTGTGAACCCAAACATCAATGGATCCAGACCAAACTTGGCACACAGACCTGATATGTTGAAATTTGATTACTGGAGGGGTTTGGGGGGGAATGGACTTTCCTTTCTGGGAGTTGTAGTTCACCCACAACCTGAGAAATGGTGACCTCCACCGACGATGGACCTGGACCACACTTGGCACACAGAACCCCCATGACCAACTCAACGTATTGGAAAGGTTTGAAGGGACTGATTAACCAGTGTGGGAGTTGTAGTTCACCTACATCCAAAAAGCACTTTGAACCCAAACATCAATGGATCCAGACCAAACTTGGCACGAGACCTGATATGTTGACATTTCATTACTGGAGGGGTTTGGGGGGAATGGACCTTCCTTTCTGGGAGTTGTAGTTCACCCACAACCTGAGAAATGGTGACCTCCACCGACAATGGACCTGGACCACACTTGGCACACAGAACCCCCATGACTAACTCAACCTACTGAAGGGGTTAGAGGGGACTGACTCACCCTAGTGGGAGTTGTAGTTTACCCTACTGTCAAAACCCCACCGATGATGCATCGAGAACAAACTTGCTCAACATAACAAACGTTAAGTACTGATGGAGTTTCTCGGGGTTAACCTGGCATGATGGGAGTTGTAGGTCACTCACAACCTTATGCATAACCCAGGCAACGCTGGGTACTCAAGCTAGTTTAAGGGGAAAAAAGGTGGGATATAAATATCATCAGCATCCCACTAAATCACATTTGCTCCCTAAAACAATACTGCAGTGAGGAGACAGCAAACAAACTAGGCAGGGATATCAGTGTTGGCTATCAAATACAAAGCCAGCCCCAACTTTTCCCCTCCTGAGACTCATTGGAGAAATGGCAAGAAAAGAACCAGGAAGTAATGAAGGAACTGGAAAAACAAATAGTGAAATGCAAAGGCCAATCCAGGAGGATTTGTTCGTTCCGGCTTCAGGTGAATAACAGGCAAGCTATCGTTATCTGGACCACTTAGAAAAATACGAAACAGGAGGAAGGAAAGGAAAAACAAAGCTATTGCAAGGCAGAGCAAAGGGATTCGTTCATTCCAGCTTAAGGTGAGTCACAGTCTTTATTGGAATGACAGAAAACAGACAGAATATTGTGTATGGCTGTGAGTTTTCTGAGCTGTCCGGCCATGTTTCAGAAGCATTCCCTCCTGGCGTTTCACCCACATCTATGAGCCCCCGGTGGCGCAATGGGTTAAACCCCTGTGCCGGCAGGACTGAAGACCGACAGGTCGCAGGTTCGAATCCGGGGAGAGGAGGATGAGCTCCCTCTATCAGCTCCAGCTCCTCATGCGGGGACATGAGAGAAGCCTCCCACAAGGATTATAAAAACATCAAATCATCCAGGCGTCCCCTGGGCAACGTCCTTGCAGACGGCCAATTCTCTCACACCAGGAGTCACTCCTGACATGACAATAAATACCCACATCTATAGCAGGCATCCTCAGAGGTTATGAGGTCTGTTGGAAACTAGTCAAATTCAGTTTATATATGTATGGAATGATGTCCAGGGTGGGAGAAAGAACTTTTCTCTGTCTGAGGGAGGTGTTAATGTTGCAATTTGTCACCTTGATTAGCTTTTGATGGTCTTGTAGCCTCAAAGCCTGGCTGCTTCCTGCCTGGGGGAATCCTTGATTGGGAGATATTAGCTGGCCCTGTCTGGAATCACCCTGTTTACTGCAGACTACACAGAGAAGCCACTGAAATCCTCAAGCATGTGGGCATTTTCAACAGAAAGGAGGAACTGGGTTGTTATAGGATTTTTCGGGCTATATGGCCATAGTCTAGAGGCATTCTCTCCTGACGTTTCGCCTGCATCTATGGCAAGCATCCTCAGAGGTAGTGAGGTCTGTTGGAACTAGGAAAAGGGGTTTATATATCTGTGGAAATGACCAGGGTGGGACAAAGGACTCTTGTCTGCTGGAGCTAGGTGTGAATGTTTCAACTGACCACCTTGATTAGCATATAATGGCTTGACAGTGTCTAGAGCAAACTTTTGTTGAGAGGTGATTAGATGTCGTTGTTTGTTTCCTCTCCATTGTTGTGCTGTTGTAGGAGGAAACCATGAAAATGAATGATATCTGGCTCCCAGTATTAAAGGACTCTAAAATCAGGAGGGTAAATAAAGAGCCACACTCAGAAAATAGGGGAAATCCAGACAGGAAACAATCAAGGCCAGGTAACACCTCTCAACAAAGGATTCCCCCAAGCAGGAAGAAGCCAGGCTTTGAAGCTGCAAAGCCAGTCAATGATAATCAAGGTGATTAATTGCAACATACACACTTGCCTCCAACAGGCAAGAGTTCTTTCTCCCACCCTGGACAATATTCTACAGGGATATATATAAACCCCACTTGCCTAGTTTACAACAGACCTCACAACCTCTGAGGATGGCTGCCATAGATGTGGGCAAAACGTCAGGAGAGAATGCTTCTGGAACTTGACCATACAGCCTGGAATATTGCCAGCAACCCAGTTACAGCATTGTTAAATTATAGATTCCAACTATACTTGAGATGAAATGACAGTCTCCCAGATGGGAGAACAAAGACTCCATTGTGCACTAAGGACAGATGGAGAACACAAGTTTCACAAGCGAGGGAGGGGTGGGAAGGGTTTAGTCTTACTTGACTACTTGAAGTCATATTTGACTGTAGTTACACTTAAAAAATATCCCTGTTCTGACTTACAAATTCAACTTAAAGAACAAACCTACATAACCTCAGAGGTTGTGAGGTTGGTTGGAAACTAGGCAAATGGGGGTTATATATCTGTGGAAAGAACTCTTGCCTGCTGGAGGCAAGTGGGAATGTTGCAAATGTATTGTCAAAGGCTTTCATGGCCGGAATCACTGGGTTGTTGTAGGTTTTTTGGGGCTATATGGATATGTTCTAGAGGCATTCTCTCCTGGCGTTTCGCCTGCATCTATGGCAAACATCCTCAGAGATAGTAAGGTCTGTTGGAACTAGTTTATATATCTGTGGAATGACCAGGGAGAAATGCTAATCAAGGTGGTCAGTTGAAACATTCACACCTAGCTCCAACAGACAAGAGTTCTTTGTCCCACCCTGGTCATTCCACAGATATATAAACCCAATTTTCCTAGTTCCAACAGACCTCACTACCTCTGAGGATGTTTGCCATAGGTGAAACGCCAGGAGAGAATGCCTCTAGAACATGGCCATATAGCTTGAAAAAACCTACAACAACCGAATGTTGGAATTGGCCAACTTGATTAGCACTGAATGGCCTTGTAGCTTCAAAGCCTGGCTGCTTCCTGCCTGGGGGAATCCTTTGTTGGGAGATGTTAGCTGGCCCTGTCCAGAATTCCCCTGTTCACTGCAGACTACACAGAGAAGCCACTGAAATCCACAAGTATATGGGCAATTTCAACAGAATGGGGGAAACAATGAAAATGAACACAATCTAGCTACTAGTATTAAAGAACTCTAAAATCAGGACAGTAAATAAAGAGCAACACTCAGAAAACAAGGGAATGCCAGACAGGAAACAATCAGGGTCAGGTAACACCTTCCAAAAAATGATTCTCCCGGCAGGAAGCAGCCAGGCTTTGACGCTGCAAGTTCATTCAGTGTTAATCAAGCACATTCACACTTGCTTCAAGCAGACAAGCCTTCTTTCTCCCACCCTGGACATTATTCCACAGGTATATAAAACCCACTTGCCTAGTTTCCAACAGACCTCACAACCTCTGAGGATGCCTGAGGATGTGGGTGAAATGTCAGGAGAGAATGCTTCTGGAATATGGCTAGACAGCATGGAAAACTCACCGCAACCCAATTATTCTGGTCATGAAAGCCTTCGACAATGAATGAAACTCATTGTTCATTCTTGAGTCATTTCCATTTGGATGCCATGGCTCAATGGAGAGGAGCCCTGGGAGTTGCAGTTTTGCAAGGTCTTGAGCCTTCCTTGCCCAAACACGGGGGGTTCCTTATCAAACTACAACTCCCAGGACTACATAGCACTGAGCCATGGGGGTGAAAGTAGTGTCGAACTGTATTAAATCTACAGTGAAGAAGGACTCTTGGTGTGCAATGCTCTCGTGCGCCTTTACGCACGCGGCCAAAAACTCATCCCCCAAAACTCCAAAGTTATGACTGAATCCCGGGCTCAAATTTAAGGGGACTCTTTTGGGGACCCTTCCTGCTAGACCCCTGAAGTCTGAAACCCCAGATTCGGGACAGACAGATCCGTCCAAATCACAATAAGGGAACAAAAACCAGAGAGATATTTGGTTTCTCTGTGCGTAAAAGTCGGGCAGGAAGGGAAAGAATGGACCAGTGGAGAAAGGAATGAAGTTTGGAAACATGTCACGGATCAATGCTGTAGGGTCCGTCTTAGGAGTTGTAGTTTCTCAAAGGGGGAGGGCTTCCTCTCCCAAAATGCTACCTCTCTAGGGATTCCCACAGCCTTGAGTAAGAGGTGGAAGCAGTGCCAAAAGTGCCACGGTTCCAGTCTGGAGATGCGCGCTTTGGTTTACCTTCTTGGGGACTTCCGGGGCGCGGGTGGTCTTGCGCGGGTGGTTTTCTCTCCAAAGTCCCGGAGCAGCTGCCTCTTTGCCCGGGCTTTCGGCTCCTCTTATAGCCGGTCCCCCCGCCTCTTTCCCTCCTTCTTCCTCCCCCAGAAGGCGGTGCCCCTTCTCCTCTCCAAACCCGGCTCCCTTTCGCCTCTTGGAACGCCTCCAAACCCGGAAATAGGGGCAAGGGCAACGTTTGCGCTCTGCACACGCCCAGAGGCCTTGCTCCAGGCCTGGACAAACAGCAGAAAGGTTGCCCAGAGCATAGAGTCATAGAATCATAGAAACAAAGAGTTGGAAGAGACCCCATGGGCCATCCAGTCCAACCCCCTGCCAAGAAGCAGGAATATTGCATTCAAATCACCCCTGACAGATGGCCATCCAGCCTCTGTTCAAAAGCTTCCAAAGAAGGAGCCTCCACCACACTCCGGGGCAGAGAGTTCCACTGCTGAACGGCTCTCACAGTCAGGAAGTTCTTCCTCATGTTCAGATGGAATCTCCTCTCTTGTAGTTTGAAGCCATTGTTCCGCGTCCTAGTCTCCAGGGCAGCAGAAAACAAGCTTGCTCTCCTCCCTATGACTTCCTCTCACATATTTATACATGGCTCTCATCATGTCTCCTCTCAGCCTTCTCTTCTTCAGGCTAAACATACCCAGCTCTTTAAGCCGCTCCTCATAGGGCTTGTTCTCCAGACCCTTGATCATTTTAGTCACCCTCTTCCTCTGGACATTCTATACATGGCTATCATATCTCCTCTCAGCCTTCTCTTCTTCAGGCTAAACATGCCCAGCTCCTTAAGCCGCTCCTCATAGGGCTTGTTCTCCAGACCCTTGATCATTTTAGTCGCCCTCCTCTGGACACATTCCAGCTTGTCAACATCTCTCTTGAATTGTGGTGCCCAGAATTGGACACAATATTCCAGGTGTGGTCTAACCAAGGCGGAATAGAGCATGGGGAGCATGACTTCCCTGGATCTAGACACTATGCTCCTATTGATGCAGGCCAAAATCCCATTGGCTTTTTTTTGCCACCACATCACATTGTTGGCTCATGTTTTACTTGTTGTCCACGAGGACTCCAAGATCTTTTTCACACGTCCTGTTCTCATGGTTTTCAACCCCTTGATCCAGTTCCTCATGTTGTGGTGACCCCCAACCATAACATTATTTTCGTTGCTACTTCTTAACTGTCGTTTTGCTACAGTTATGAATCGGGATGTAAATATCTGAAACTTATTTACAATATATACCTCTTTTGTCGCCCCTGGGAGTGTCTCAAAGTGGTTTATAAAAAATAATGGCAACATTCAATGCTTTACCTATGTGAACCAAATCATATCATTTGTTCAACAAGATACTTCACTTAGGCAGAAAAAAATGAAATGCAAAGATACAGAATGGGGGACCTGGCGCGAGAGCAGTACGTGTGAAAAAGATCTTGGAGTCCTCGTGGACAACAAGTTAAACATGAGCCAACAATGTGATGTGGCGGCAAAAAAAGCCAATGGGATTTTGGCCTGCATCAATAGGAGCATAGTGTCTAGATCTAGGGAAGTCATGCTCCCCATGCTCTATTCCGCTTTGGTGAGACCACACCTGGAATATTGTGTCCAATTCTGGGCACCACAATTCAAGAGAGATATTGACAAGCTGGAATGTGTCCAAAGGAGGGCAACTAAAATGATCAAGGGTCTGGAGAACAAGCCCTACAAGGAGCGGCTTAAAGAGCTGAGCATGTTTAGCCTGAAGAAGAGAACTGTATCACTGGAAGAATGATAGAACCGTATCATTGGAAGAAGAGAACTCATCCAGTCTAATTGCATTGTACCATCTAAGAAGACACAAACAAAGCCCTCTCGACAGATTGCCATCCAACTTCTCTTCAAAAATCTCCAAAGCAGGAGACTCCACCAGAGTATTCCACTATAGAAACTCTTATAAAAGGGAAGCATTGTCTCTAGGAATCTCAAGGTCCATTGCAACTCAAGGTTCAACTTCTGGTGGAAGCTATTCATAGAATGTGTCTAGAAGAAGATGACTAAAATGATCAAGGGTCTGGAGAACAAGCCCTATGAGGAGCGGCTTAAAGAGCTGGGCATGTTTAGCCTGAAGAATAGAAGGCTGAGAGGAGACATGATAGCCATGTATAAATACGCAAGAGGAAGTCATAGGGAGGAGGGAGCGAACTTGTTTTCTGCTTCCTTGGAGACTAGGACACGAAACAATAGCTTCAAACTACAAGAAAGGAGATTCCATCTGAACATGAGGAAGAACTTCCTGACTGTGAGAGCCGTTCAGGAGTGGAACTCTCTGCCCCGGAGTGTGGTGAAGGCTCCTTCTTTGGAAGCTTTTAAACAGAGGCTGGATGGCCATCTGTCAGGGGTGCTTTGAATGCAGTATTCCTGCTTCTTGGCAGGGGGTTGGACTGGATGGCCCATGAGGTCTCTTCTAACTCTAAGATTCTATGATTCTATGAAAAACATCTAAGAAAAACATCAAAATTCCATGATCCAAACTCATAGACTGGGCCATTCCAGATGTCAATTACACATCTTCCAGAGTTACTTTACTTGTCAAAAGCTTGGTTCCATAACCATGCATTTGTCCTCTTTCTAAAGGCCAGGATGCTGATGCAATCTCACTGGAGAGAGAGTTCCAGAGTTGGAGAGCCACCACTGAGCAGGCCCTGTCTCTCATCCCCACCAGTCACACTTGCAAAGGAGGTGGAGCTGAGAGCAGGGCCTCCCCAGAATATCTTAACCTCCATGATGGTTCAGGCACTGTCAAGCCATTATATGCTAATCAAGGTGATCAGTTGAAACATTCACACCTAGCTCCAGCAGACAAGACCTTTGTCCCACACTGGTCATTCCACAGATATATAAACCCTTTTTCCTAGTTCCAACAGACCTCACTACCTCTGAGGATGCTTGCCATAGATGCAGGCAAAACGTCAGGAGAGAATGCCTCTAGACCATGGCCATATAGCCCGAAAAAACCTACAACAACCCAGTGAATCCGGCCATGAAAGCCTTCGACAATACAAATAATGTTATGGTTTGGGGTCACCACAACATGAGGAACTGTATCAAGGGGTCGCACAAGTAGGAAGGTTGAGAACCGCTGTTCTAGAACATAGCCTTACAGTCTGGAAAACTCAAAGCAACCCAGTGATTCTGGCCATGAAAGCCTCCAATAACACAATGTCTATATTACTGCAATTGACCGCATTATGTAACTCAACTTTTGTTCCTCGTTTATATAAATGTCAGCTTGTGGCAACCACAATTACAAAGTTTCTGGGGGAAAACACCCACTTACAAAGTGAGGACTTCACAATGGAACAGGAAATAACACTTTCAAACCAGGGTGAGAGCATTTCTCAAATATGGTTACAATGGAGATGGGATATGCCAGCTCATTTCACCAATCGGACTTCCTCCCTGGACATCACAGCAAGCAGTTCTCTCCCTCTCTCCAATGGTAACTCTCCTCTCACCTTTTCTCATGATGCATGCCAAGCGTTGTATTCCTTTTTCAGCAAATCGTGGATCAACCAACCAGGATCTTAATCAGCTGCCTTCATGGTGGCTGGATAGTGTAGGGAGGGACCCCTACTTGTGGGTGGTCAATGAAACGAAAAAGAGAGAGGGAAGGTTTGAGAGAAGAGAGAGAGAAGGGTGGAGAATGCCCACCATCACCACCATCTTGTGATGTAATAAACAGAACAGCGGCTGTCGGAATCTGGATTGTAAAATGCTCCAACCTTGGCTTCTCCAGTTATCGGGGACTTCAACTCCCAGACACCCCAACCAGCTCAACCAAGCATTGGGGATTCTGGGAGTTGAAGTCTGAAACATCTAGAACAGGAATTCTCAAACGCTTTAAGCCAAGGGCCGGTTCGTGGTGCGTCAGACCGTTGAGGGGTCGGATTATCCATTGTTTTCAAACAAATTCCTATGCGCACTATACAAATAATGCACAAAAACATGAAAGAGCAATACAATGTGTTGTTGAAGGCTTTCATGGCAGGAATCATTGGGTCTGGCCATGTTCCAGAAGCATTCTCTCCTGACGTTTCGCCCACATCTATGTCAGGCATCCACAGAGGTTGTGAGGTCTGTTGGAAAATAGGCAAGTGGGGTTTATGTATCTGTGGAATGATGTCCAGGGTGGGAAAAAGAACTCTTGCTTGTTGGAGGAAAGTGGGAATGTTGCAATTGGCCACCTTGATTAGCTCTGAATAGTCTGGTTGCTTCCTGCCTGGGGGAATCCTTTGTTTGAAGGCATCCTCACAGGTTGGGACAGTAAATAAAGAGCAACACTCAAAAAAGCAAGGGAATTCCAGTCAAGAATCAGTCAGAGCCAGTTAACACCTCCCACTTTGGACATGGAATTGGATATGGAATTGACTGGAATGACGTTACGGCTATTAATACTGTTTTTTACTGTCTTAATGAATGTTTTACTTATTGTTTTAATTGTTATTATATTGTTGTTTGATATGTTATATGTAGTGGCATCGAATTGCTGCCAAATGTATAAGCCATCCTGATTCCCCCTTCGGGGGTTGAGAAGGAACAGGATAGAAATGCCGGAAATAAATAAAAACAAAGGATTCCCCCAGGCAGCAACCGGCCAGGCTTTGAAGCTGCAAGGCCATTAAAAGCTCTGTTGTGCTGTTTTGATTTTAGAGTTTTTAATACTGGTAGCCAGACTTTGTTCATTTTCATGGTTTCCTCCTTTCTGTTGAAATTGTCCACATGCTTGTTGAAACTGTCCACTCTAAAATTACAACAGCACAACAACAGAGAGGAAACAAACAAGGACATCTAATCACCTCTCAACAAAAG